TTATTTCTAGTCACAAAAATATTTATAATTGAGTATAAACTTAAAAAACTAAAATATATTTGAACGAAGTCGCTCCAACACCGACGCGCGGTCCACCCTCGACGATGTCCGAAAACGGACTACGACATGGCTCGCGTGTGGATTACAGGGCGACGGATCATGCACGCTCGCGCAAATATATTCAATTTCAGGGAAAAATGATATTTTCTCTTATAAAACGGGGAATAAAAATAAAACTCTCAATTAAAAATATTAATATTTTTAAGACCTATTTAAAAAGCTTGTGCCGTTTTGGAGAAATTTTGAAGAATATGACAAAGATAGGTACTCTTTGGGGATTTTTTTCTAATAAGGGGTTGACATAAATAAAATTTTGTTCAATTAAAAACATTTATTAAATACTCTTCTGTTACCCTGTATTTTTTCTTTGTGGATTAAGTCAACAGTTATTGTGATTTTTTTACTTAAATATCTAAGAATTTAAGCATTTCAACCGCAGTTAAGGCCTTAATAGTTTAATTTTCACAGATGTGTATTTCTTTTGTGACTATAACAAATAATAAAAATTAAAATTAAAACGGGACTACTAGAAACGAGTTTTACGATGGTACGGAACCCTTTATGCGCGAGTCCTACTCGCACTTATTCTTTTTTTTTTCTTCTTTAAAAAACGTTACCCCCACACTAGGATTTTCTCCTGTATCGTGGAGGCAGTTTACAAACATAAATTGCACAAGGACAAACATCCAGACCCGGAACAATTATTTGTAGGCCATACAAATACTTGTTCCGTGCGGGATTCGAACCCGCGGCCCCCAGCGCAGCAACTGATTGCTAAGCCACTGCGCTACGGAGGCGTCTATTCGGACGGATTTTTTTAACTTTTCTACTTTTAGGAATATCTGTAGTTTGGTTCATTCATTTTTACGACGTTTCGATGTTACAGTTAACAAAGGCTAACTTCAACTTTGAATTATTAAAAGTACAGCGTAGATCGGAATAAAAAAAAATTTGGTCTGATCTACGCAGAACGATACGCGATAAAATCCGTAAATTTAGTTTTATTCCAATTTGGTTTTTTGTTTTGATGTAGGCGACAAGGTACACCAGTGCAGCACTTGTGGCAAACGCTTCAAGAGCCGCCTGTGCCTGCACCAGCACTGCAAGTACGTGCACCCGCCGGCCAGCGCGTCGGCGACGTGTCCGCACTGCCGCAAGGTGTTCAAGTCGCGCATCAACTTGCAGCAACACGTCAAGGTCTCGCACGGCACCAGGCTCGCTTGATGTCCTGCTAGCCTAATTGCCACCTGCAGGAATGTTCGCTAACTTTGTTGTACAGCAAAATTCAAAATGATAGTTACTTTGTGGTACATTGCGTTGTGTAGTTTCTTAATTTCTTATATTCTGTCAATAATATTATTACGAAAAAATCATGTTATTACAAAATTTATTAGTGACCGACCGAAGATTCGGTTTCGGTTTCGGCAAGTTTCAGCAAAAAATATCTAGTTTCGGTAATAGTTTCGGTTTCGGCAAAAAACCTGCCCAACTTTCGGCGACGTCGAAACTCAAGTGTTCGTGGATTATCGTGCGTCGTTCGGATGACTTCGTGACTCCGTGTATTACTCATAGTTATATTATTACGTTAATGCTCTCATTGAATAATATATTAGTTTTGTCAATATTATGAACACAATAAAATATGTTCTCAATTAGCGAGTAACTTTTTATGGGTGTAATTTTTTTTTTATAGAATTAGGATGACAAACGAGCACAGTCCACCTGATGGTAAGTGGTTGCTGTGGCCCATAGACATCTACATCTATCCTCGTTTGCGAATCAAAATGCAGATGCGTTGTCAGCCTTGAGGACTAAGATAGAATGCCTCTTCTCCAGTAAAATGGGTCTCCGGTTCTCTACACTCACCATACGAAACACAGCAGCATTAAGCTGCTATTTTACGCTGGTATTCTGTGAGAGCGTGGTCCTTCCCCGGTCGAGCCGACGCATTCGTGCTACAACTATACTATTAATATAGCTGCAGCATGGCTCTACCTCGTAAAGAAGTGTTGATTTTTTAAAAAATTTACTTAAAAAAGTATTTCTTAACGTTAAATTGTTGATTTTTTTTTTACTTTGTTGACTTTAAAATATGACAAAATATATTTATTTAATTTAGTATTGTAATAACAATTACTATTTTTCATTAACATGCATTAACTATCTGTATATGCATAAAAAATATACCAGATTTCAGTTTATAATGAAATAAAATGACATATCTAAATATGTTTCGGTTTCCGCCGAAACTGAACATCCAGACCGAAGGTTCGTTTTCAGTTTCGGTTTCGGTTGAAAATCCGGTTTCGATCGGACACTAAAAATTTTCCTACAACGGGGTACAGCACTAGCTCTAATTCGAGGAAAGCCCTAAGCGACGGGGCACGGGAGCACGTGCTGTGCCCTGGCTGCTCGTCTCATACAACATCCTTTCACACTTAATTAATTTTGTTAAAATCAGTATTTTCTTGTCGAAATATTTCTTATAGACTTAAAGAAATATCATTATTCTTCTATGTTAGTTTCCATAAATCGTTTTCACAGATTATTAATACACATTCACATTAAAATTCAACTAAATACCGGCGAGAGAAACAATCAGCGCGCGTGCCCGTTCGTTAGTCACGAACGGAGCTACGGAGCTTATTCAAGTTAACAGGTGTAGGTAATCAACCTTTTTTTATAGAAGAGGGGGCAAACGAGCATGCGGCTCACCTGATGGTAAGTGACTACCGCCGCCCATGAACAACCGCAACACCAGGAGAATTGCAGATGCGTTGCCGGCCTTTTAGAAAGATGTAAGCCCTTTTCTTGAAGGTCCCTAAGTCGTATCGGTCCGTAAAAATCGCCGGTAGTAAACAATTCCACAGAGAAGTTGTACGAGGAAGAAAACTCCTAGTAAAACGTAGTCGTGCACCGCCAAGCATCCAGATGGTGAGGATGGTATCGTGAATTTTGACGCGATGTGCGTTTATGAAATTTGGCGGCTGGAATTAATCCGAACAATTAACCTGATGTTTACCTTTGAATCGTCTATGTACGCTTCAGTTTCGACTAGATCTGTAAACCCTTTTGATGACTTCAAAGCCTTTTTAATTCTGAAATATAAACTGTCCAGATATATCTGTGGCTCAATGTCACTCGCAGAGCAGGATGCGTCTTCTGTTGCGATTTGTACAACAAATATCTTCGAAGTAAAAAAAGATCCTTTTCTTCTTGCGTAAAGGTCTGGCTAGATTGGTCTGTTTTGTGGTGTTCATTTACAATTAATTTATTTTTAGCATTCAGCGTACAAATAATTGGTGAGATTCGGTCGGACACTATAGAAAAGATAAATAAATAGAACACGCAATGTACTACAAAGTGACCCGTTTTGTTGTCAACACAGATAAAAATCCCGCTGATCCTCTAATTGTACAGTAAAATTATAAACATTCTAACCATTTTCTTTTATTTCTGACTGATCCTGGGTCCTACCGTGTAGTGGCGATGTAAGTATATCCTCTACTCCATACCGTCCCGTAGGTGTCGCAAGACAACAGGAAACATAACAGGAGATGGGCAGCAGCATCTTCCTGATAACAATTTAAAATAATTAAAAAATGTGGGTAACCACATTTTTTAATTATTACCCGCCTGTAAAACATGGCAATTATGGCAAATGCAACCCTTACGAAACATTCTATGTTGACATTATACTGGGTGGCGATTAGGTTATCACACTAAACAACACAGCGGTATATACAAGATCATATATGTGAAATAAATCACCTTGATAATATTAGTTTACTGACCAGTGTGCCTAGAGCGAGATGTTGTTTTTACGCATTCGATACCGAGAAAGTTAACTACGATTTGTATGGAATAAAATCAGCGCCAACTAGTGGCAATAATCGGAATCACCATCGAGCATTGACTCTCATTCGACAGTGAGAACGTTAACGCACGTGATTGGTTGGAGCGGCAATTTGGATCGTTCGACACGTAAAACTTTACGCAGTCGGTATCGAAAAAGTTTTCACCTAAACTATGTTTTTAAATATATATTTTATTTCATTATGTGTATATTTGTATATCTTTATGAGTTTACATCTGACATTATAATATGTACTTAAGTATTATACATTTTTATTATCTTATTATTTTTATCATAATTTATTTTATGTATTTTATTTTCATGTACTACATTTTTTTTTTGTTATTTGAGTTTAGTGTTCGCATATTAACTTTTTATTACACCTACTTCATTCTATCTCTGCATCATCCCAAGGTAGTCTAGTAGAAAATGCCTTACGGTGCGTACACATTATATAACATAACAGCTGAATGTTATAAAACGTGTTATATAACGTGGCACAAATGTTATTATTTTTTTTTTATATATATTTATTATGTTATTAAAACTCGAACGGCAGAACAACAAACGACAATGTCATATAACATTGTTATATTGCATTATTATTCTAATGTGTACAGTATTGTTATATGTTGCAATGTTGAAAAACAATGTTACATAATATGGACGTGTTATAAAACAAAAGTTATACAACATGTTACTTGATCTGTAAGCACCCTTAGGCATTAAGTCCGCCTATATACCACATGTGTATATGAAGTTTTAATAAATAAATAAATAAAAGTAAAAAAAAACCGCGATTGCCCACCCACCTGCATAGCAACTATTGCAAATATCTTCCCCATGAGGCAATCCATGCGGGAAGCCCTTGTTCAGCAGAGGACTTTATAAAAAAAACATAAAGGTCTGGTCTGTTCCCACTAACCTCCCATTCGGTACATATTATAAGGTAAAATTTTTATTGGTTATTGAATTACCTTAATCAGGATAAATGCAGTTTCAATTAGCACATAAGGCACGGGAAGATTTTTTTACTCATTCTATAATTACATAAGAAATTCATAAAAAATGGATTTTTATCTTTAACTTTTATATGAAACACGTTTACATAATATTGTACATTTTACCAGAGCGCTCACGAAAAGGGCTTATAATCGGGTGTGAATTTTCATATGTCTTATCAAATTATTTTTTTGTATACATTTATATTCACAGATATTACACGAAAAAGATTTTTCTCTATTATGTTTTTTCATATGTCTTTGCAATTTATTTTCTGTAGTACATCTATATTCGCAGATATTACACGAAAATGGTTTTTCTCTGAAGTGAGTTTTTATATGTGTTTGCAAATTAGTTTTTTGAATACATTTATATTCACAGATATGACACAAATGAGGTTTTTCTCCGGTGTGTATTTTCATATGTGCTTGCAAACCTCCTTTTGTTTTACATCTAAATTCACATTTATGACACGAATAAGGTTTTTCTCCAGTGTGTGTCTCTATATGCCTTTGCAAAATACTTTTTTTAGCACATCTATAGCCACAGATATTACACGAATAAGGTTTTTCTTCGGTATGTATTTTCATATGCCTTTGCAATTCAATTTTTTTAATACATCTATATTCACAGATATTACACGAAAAAGTTTTTTCTCCAGTATGTATATTCATGTGGTTTTGCAATTGAATTCTTCTAATACATCTATATTCACAGATATTACACGAGAAAGGTTTTTCTCCGGTGTGTATTTTTATATGTGTTTGCAAATTATCTTTTGTATTATATCTATGTCCACATATATTACACGAAAAAGGTTTTTCACCTGTATGTATTTTCATATGTCTTTGCAAGTGCATTTTCCTACTACATCTATATATACAGATATTACACGAAAAAGGTTTTTCACCGGTGTGTATTATCATATGGTACGTCAAATTGCTTTTTTTTGTACATTTATAATCACATTTATTACAACAGAACACTTGTTTAGCGGCATGCGCTTTAAAATGTGTCAAAATGTAACGTTTTTGAGATGTTTTAAATTCGCAAATGTCACAATTAAACATTTCCGCTAGTTGCGGTACAGGAGTATGCTCAACTTGTGTCAGGACTGCGGTGGTGTCTGAGTTCTTTTGCGTGTTATGACTGTATGAAATGTGTTTGGCGAGAATGTCTTTACTTGAAAATTTTTTGGTACAACCATCACATTCAAAAATGTATTTTGTTGATGTCCCTGTTGTTTCTTTTGTAAGTATATTTACACTCTTTTGTTTCATAATTTTTGCAAGATTCTTTCCTTTTACATTAATTGGTTGTTCATCTTTTATCACTTTAGGGTTTGATTTAATAGTAGGCCCTTCAAAATCCAGGTTTTCTTTAAGTACTGCGTTTATGTTACTATCAGTAGAATCTGATTTAATCTTCTCAGACGATTCTGAAAGATTATTTGTCTGTGTGATGTACTGTTCTGAAATAAACACGAAATAAACATTTTATTAATTGTAAGACATTGCATCTTTATTGTAAGACACCATAAACGGTTTACAATGGGCGGAGTTCATGTCTTATGGCATTCTCTCTCAGTTAACCCAGGGATAAATACAGAGATAATAATATTTTACAAGTCCACCTGATGGTAAAGGGTTGCTGCGACCCATAGACATCTACATCTATCCTCGTTTGCGAATCAAAATGCGGATGCGTTGTCACTCGTGAGGACTAAGATGGAATGCCTCGTTTCCAGTAAAAAGGGTCTCCGGTTCTCTACACTCACCATACGGAACACAGCATCGTTAAGCTGTTATTTTACGCTGGTATTTTGTGAGAGCGTGGTCCTTCCCCGATCGAGCCGACCCATTCGTGCTACAACTATACTACCTACTAATATAGCTGCAGCATGGCTCTACCACGTATAAAAAGTATAAATAAAACAAAGATACGTCGTCCCGAAATAGTAGTCCATACTGTATATTAGCGACACTTATTTTTTATGCAATAAGAGTGACAAACAAGCACACAGTCCAGCCGATGGCAAGTGCAAGCTGTGGCCCTCAGACATCTTCATGATCCTCGTTTAGGAATCAAAATGACTCTTAAAGTGCTTGTGTAGTACTTGAGTGCAAGTCACAGAACAGTATTCCTAAGTACAGCATTTTGAGATAAGTACTGTTTTTATGTGTTTATTAATTAGCAACGATCTTGAGATGCTGATATCGTAATGAGGGTGTATCAAATGATTACGCACTTGAGTTCGTCGTTGAGTAACGTTTATTAATACGGACCTAATTTTCTTAACACTGTTTACGTAAACAGTTTTTTTGTAAATACTTGTTGAAATAGTTTTTGTTTAGTGTGCGGCTGGGCTTGTAGATGGAGTGAGAGAAGCGAAGATAGGAATTAAAATAAAGTTCTACATATGATGGTTCAATATCTCACACAAGATATGTCCACGATACAAAATTAGAAGGATAACACAGATTACAGCTATAGTTTATAGGACAGAGAAAGAAAGGTAGAATAGAAAATACGGAGTTATAGGCAAAGGCACAAGATGATTTTGGAAAATAAAGCGCGCGCGTATCTATACAAATAAATAAAATTGAAGTGTCTGTTTGTAATGTAAAAATAACAGTTTTTTTTACTAGATGCATATGAAAGTACATACGGTACTAATAACAAAAAAACTAAAAGGCTAATCTCCAAATCGGCTGAACCAATTTTGACGAGACTCAGTGGCAGATAGCTGATATTATAAGGAGGAACTTAGGCTACTTTTAATTTAGAAAAAGAATTAGATTTCCGCGCAAAAAAATTAAAACCCATGAAATCCAATCGTAATAAATTACACGCGGGCGAAGTCGCGGGGAACAGCTGGTTATTTATAAAATTTCATTCGACAAAACGTTAGAATTATGATGGAATGTGAACGGAACGAAGCATATAGAAAATTAGGTTTTTACAAAAATAGCAGGGAACAGCTGGTTATTTATAAAATTTCATTCGACAAAACGTTAGAATTATGATGGAATGTGAACGGAACGAAGCATATAGAAAATTAGGTTTTTACAAAAATAGTGTTGGATTGTATAATAGTATTTTAGCTTTTCCATTGTCGGATAAGGCTAGAAAACTTTATAAACTAGTTTTGTTAGGTATTAGGAACAGATATTTTTTTATTATTGTTTACGTGAATTTATAATAGTCTGATTATATGTATTTGATTGTGTACCTATAAGGGTGACATGATCTGATAGATCAAACCCTCTATAATCAATAAAGATTTAAAAAAAAAGTTAGAATCTTAATTTTTAGGCCCTAGTAGAACATACCGGCGCGCCTAGCGCTTACGGCATGCAATATATATATATTTTTTTTCTTCTTTAAAAAACGTTACCCACTAGGATTTTCTCCTGTGCCGTGGAGGCAGTTTACAAACATAAATTGCACAAGGACAAACATCCAGACCCGGAACAATTATTTGTAGGCCATACAAATACTTGTTCCGTGCGGGATTCGAACCCGCGGCCCCCAGCGCAACAACTGATTGCTAAGCCACTGCGCCACGGAGCCGTCATATTTATACATAATTAAAAGGAAATGTCTAACAGAGATCATTATGATGTCCATGCATTCGCCCCCTCCCCCAAATAGGTAAATTGTACCTTATTTTAATAACATAAAAAAGGGTATATCTCACCTGTTTCATGATTCCCATTCTCTTCAAGTTTGTAATTCTCAATTTCGAAATTCTCTTCCTCAACTTTAACCAAATCAAGGCTAAAAATTTCGTCTTTACAATCATTTTCTATATCTAACTCTTCCGGCCAGATATCTATATGATAAACTTGTGTGAATTGAATCTTATTCCTAGTCTCATATGGTTTTGATGTTGACTGAAACCAAATATTTTTTTTAAATAAGAGAAAAAGCCAGTGTAGTATTGGTGTAGGAGAATCCACACTACCCATGCCATGCTGCAGCTATATTAGTAGTATATTTGTAACACAAATGGGTCGGCTCGACCGGGGAAGGACACGCTCTCACAGAATACCAGCGTAAAATAGCAGCTTAATGCTGCTGTGTTTCGTATGGTGAGTGTAGAGAACTGGAGACCCTTTTTACTGGAAAAGAGGCATTCCATCTTAATCCTCACGGGTGACAACGTACCTGCATTTTGATTCGCAAGCAAGGAGAGATGTAGATGTCTATGGGTCTCAGCAACAACTTACCATCAGGTGGGCTGTGTGCTCGTTGGTTACTCTATTTCTATTAAAAAAAACCTCCAAATGATAATAAAAGTCGGACAAAAGTGAGCGTTATGAATAAACTTAAATAAGAATGTAGATAGTTCATCCGTCCCGAGAATTGAGTCTCAACAATGTTTCGCTTAATATTTACAAATGCCGTATATTTGATAAAGATCTATGAAATATGTAACAGTATAAAATGTTAGTTAATTATTTTTGTAAGTTTCTCGCATATGGCAACGGAAAGCAGTATAGAAGGCGTGAGCAGGTAGTGACCGTCAAGGTGCCTGCCAAGTGATGTTGAAGGCAGCAGTCAATATTTATTAATAAGAAGTATAATATGGTGGGTCGTGTAATAACGGTGTAAGAATATTCACTACCGTATACTGTGTGTCCGGCATCGTATATATGTACTATGCACTAGATTTTGCATTCCGAACATTGACTATGTTCAAGTGAACTGTATTGCAATCCGTACACTTCAAATTGAAAATTTGTGAATTCCGTAAGATAATTATTATTACATGTTATCTAAATAAATAAATATATCATATACTTAAATATTTTTTTTAAAGTTACGAATATGCGAACCCATTTTTTTGTAATGTTAATGATAAACAATGAGCCTATTTTTATCTCGTTAAGACCAAAACTTTGAGATATTTTTTTGAACACACAGAAAATATCTAAAAAAAAAATGGCTGCCACGTTGAGGGGAAGGGGATCAGACATCAGTCTTTAGTATATTTGTATATTAAAACTAGCTGTTGCCCGCGACTTCGCCCGCGTGTTCAGACACTTCAATTTTATTTATTTGTATAGATAGTTGTAATATAAGTGACCAGACACAATGTATACCTACCCACGGGACGGCGTGTCGTAAGAGGCGACAGAGAGAAACCGGAACACGAGTTGGGAAGCAGCATCTTCCTGATGTCAACTCAGATTGATATAAACTGCAGTTGCCAACTTGCCAAGCGTGGCAAAATTGGCAAAATCCCTAAGGGAGAAATCTATGATACTCTTAAAGGTTTTAATGGATAGAATGGATAATACCATGGACCCTCCTGCAAGCAACTGCTCCAAAAGTGCATTCGACTCAATAGCCTGTTGTTGTAATCTTCTGCAACGAATGAGTCTTGCATGACAGGTGAAACAGACAATTATGGGCCCCTCATTCTCATCCGTCTGAAAATGTGAAAGTTCATCATAAATATGGAAAACTACTTAAATATATAAGTTTGTAATAAAATTTATTAGCATGTTAATTCATTTGAAAATAACTAACTACATAAGTAACATCGTAACATAATGCTAAGTAAGCGCATCTACGGAAACGGAAACTAGTCAATACTCTGTGTGACTCTTATGAAATACTTGACGCTGGCAGAATCCATTGGAAGTTGCCAAACAAGGAAAAAAAACATCATTTTTTTTATAATATTGAAGTGACTGGCTCTCAATGAACTTCAGAGTGGAACACATACTGCTGCTTGGTGGCAGAAATAGGTAAGAGACTGATAACTACCCAGACAGACTCCTAGGCTTAAAAAATATCCTACCACCTAGTGAATCATAATCACTGCAACAACACAGTCCTAAGCCACCTACATCCATCGACTTCCTGTCTAACTAGATTGCCACTATCTAGTGGAGGGCCACTCTACAATTTGCTTACGTATGAGCCTACCAATCGAGAATAATGTTTCCCAGTCTGTTGTTAGTGCAAGCTATAAGAACACAATACTCTAGAAGTATATATGCCCTGTATTAATAAACGTTACTCAACGACGAACTCAAGTGCGTAATCATTTGATACGCCCTCATTACGATATCAGCATCTCTAGATCGTTGCTAATTAATAAACACATAAAACAGTATCTCATAACGCTGTACTTAGGAATACTGTTCTGTGACTTGCACTCAAGTACACACACTTTAAGAGTCGAGTTTCGTTTATGTGGACGTGTTATAAAACAAAAGTTACACATGTTACTTAATCTGTACACACCCTTAATCAGTGTGGCACTCAGCTGATATCGTAAACCTAAACCGCATCTTGAGATATGATTATTAATAAGATCATAAACTCAAGATTGTACTCAAGTGAGTGTACTTGAGCTGAGTAATGTTTATTAATACGGGTCTATGAGTCTCCATGACTTTAACAGATATAATTTTAAAAACAGTAGATTCAAACACTTGGGTCCCTCACAGCGGTATTTTCAAGTTTGGGCTTTCACAATTCATCTCACTAAACCTACTTTTAAACATTAACATTAAACTACCAGCATCACTATTAACATTACAAATACTTCTTTTATTTACTCCAAGTAACCTGAAAGTCCTTGCGTTAGGTATAATTTATAACAATAGTCAAATGGCAGATTTGAAGTTAATACTTTCTTGAGTTTGCAGTCCGCACCCTTAACTATTAGGGAACTGTCACTTTCAATGTCAATTTCAAATGGAAGTTAATAACAATGTTATACATTCCCTAGCAGTTTTAACCTTTTTGATTTTATATCAATTGCAGTATGAAGTAAGTTCCAGACTTTTTTTTTATAGGATAGGGTGACAAACGAGCACACAGTCCACCTGATGATAAGTGGTTGCTGTGACCCATAGAGACATCCACATTTGTCCTCAATGAAGAATCAAAATGCAGATGCGTCGTGACCCGTGAGGACTAAGATGGAATGCCTCTTTTACAGTAAAATGGGTCTCCGGTTCTCTATACTCACCATACAAAACACAGCAGCGTTAAGCTGCTATTTTACGCTGGTATTCTGTGAGAGCGTGGTCCTTCCCCGGTCGAGCCGACCTATTCGTGCTACAACTATACTACTAATATAGCTGCAGCATGGCTCTACCATGTAATAAAAATGAGTTTGGACATCTTAACAATTAGCCTATTTTCTACTGACATCAAAAAGGAGGAGGTACTCAATTCAACTGTATGTTTTTGTATATTTGTTTGCAATTTCGATGATTCTTTTTTTATTTGATAGCTGGTGCTTCTCATGTGGTTCCATAAAAATTTGATCAAGGTCTGACCAATAGCTTTTGAGTTATTCTTAATAATTTATATTGAAGACGGTTTGTACAAAATTTTTAATTTTAAATTATACTTATATCTCATAAGGATATGGGCAGCAACTTTTTCCTCATAACAGGTCAGAATAATAAAAAAACTGCTGTTGCAAAACCCGCCCGCCTAGCGTGGCACCTACAACAAATAACAATAATAACACCAGAAATAATGCTAAAATAATGTAAAGCATTTATTCAACCTATTTTGGAATATGCCTTCCAGATTATACTGAGATTACTCATCTCATAGACTCATCAGTGCAGGACAGGTTTATATTGCATGTGTGTGTAAACAAACGCAAGTGTACATTATTCCTTCTTCTGATATCTCAGTCCGACAGGAACATGAGAAAGATGAGTGAGGGAATTTCTGTGTTTGAAAGCAAACATACACTCTCATAAATAAAAAAATAGGATTTTAAGAAATTCGAAATAAGATTGAAATTACGTAAATAGAAAATGGATTAATGCTATTTAAAACTAGAAGACGGCCTAAAACTACCTATTTATTATTTTAATTAATTAGAGAAACATAAAAACAACAATTTAAAATTAATACGGTGGTATTGAATAATATCCTGAGTTTTACGTAAGTCGTCGATATCGTTGACTTAGGCTTTGCTAAGCACGCACTCAGCACAACTTCGAAGTTAGCTCTATAAATACCGACATTGTTTTAGCTCGAAAGTTAAGTATGAGCAAAGTCAAAGTATGGTTTATAGATCTCAGCCTTAATCTCCCACTTTAATAGTCCAATAATAGAACGGTTCTAAGTGGATGAAAGACCAAATCAGAGTGGATGTTAATTTCTTGACAGAAAATTGCAATAATACTAATTGAATTAATATATACTAGAAAAGACATGGCAAACTAAATCTATGCAACAGTGTGGGTCACGTGGAGGAGGCAAAGGTACCTATTTATGGCAAAGACTCAGTAAATTTGTGCCCGCGGGCTCTAACACATCTATTCTAATACTTAGCACATATTACGTTTTTTATAGTATAAGGGTGACAAACATGCACAACGCTTACCTGATGGTAAGTGGTTGCTGTGGCCCATAGATATCTACATGTATCCTGGGGTTGGCTATAGACATCCGTTACTGGATTTTAAAAATGTTTTCAGTTTAACCAGTATGCATTCGTCCATGGATTACGCCTTGTACACCGCACACCGTACTGCGGCGGCGCTGAATGGTGTGCGGGTACAGGGGGCGAAATATAATATGAAATAGCGGTCGGTCGATTGAAAAAATAAGTATAAACGGATCTATTAAATAGTACGTTGAGCGATATTAATTTATATCTCGAGATATAATTTATATTACATTATATCCCATAGTAAAAAGCGGGCTTAAGGGTTAACACTGCATCTTAGCCTAGCCCCGATCTATCGCATTTTATGTCAGGCAAGTTATGTATAAATTTCTCCAGCGATAACTCTTCTTTAAAGGATTTCTCGACGAGGTAAAACAAATTACCGCAGTTTCAATTCGCAATATTAATATATATTAACAAACTTACAAAACTGTTCGTCAATGTTTTGAATAAATTTTGGAGATCAGCCTTCTTTAGTACAAACATACGTACATTAACACATAAACAAATTCTACAAATTTCACTAAAGGCCATTTTATATCTATAGCTTCCACCACAAACAAACTAAAATTAATAATGATTAATAAGCAGTACTTGAGTATGTAGTCTCTAATATATGTAATATGTATAAATCCTTTTTTTATCAATATAACGAAATTTTCAAAAATGTAATGTATTTTTTAACGGGCTTTACGGCTCTGGGTTCTAGCCCTTCTGAGCCTAGAAAAAAAAAATATAAACATAAATATGTAACAAAGAGTATAGTAACTGTCCTATACACAAACAGCCCTATTAATAAACATAGAATTGAGCAAGATTAACTTTACTCCTAGTTTAAAATAACTAATTTCATTATTAATATACATATAGTAAGGAGGGAGTAAACTACGAATCTACTCTCGGAATAAAAGTTAAACCTTGGCGTTACATAGTTTAACGACTGAGTAAGCATAGACCAGCCGCGTATTTTTACATTTTGTAAAACTTTACGTACGTTGTAGCCAAAGAGAAAATAACCCAGAGAGTACTTTTTATAAACTATAACCACTACGTCAAATAAAGCGTATAATAAGTATTTTTTTTATAGGAGAGGGGGCAAACGAGCATGCGGCTCACCTGATGGTAAGTGACTACCGCCGCCCATGAACAACTGCAACACTAGAGAGGGAATTGCAGAATCGTTGCCGGCCTTTTAAAAAGGAGTACGCTCTTTTCTTGAAGATGCCTAAGTGGTATCGGTCCGGAAAAATCGCTGATGGTAATCGATTCCACAAGGAAGTCGTGCAAGGAAGAAAACATCTTCTAAATCGTACAGTGGTGGACCGCCACTCATCTAGATGGTGTGGATGGTATCGGGAGTTCTGCCGCGATGTGCGTTCGTAAAATTTGGCGAGTGCGATTAATCTGAACAATTCCTCAAAGCACTCCTCATGGTAGATGCGAAAGAAAATCTAAATGGATGCAACATCTCTTCGTAGTGCCAATGAATCGAGCCGATCGGAAAGGGCTCGCTCGTCGACGATTCGAGCCGCTCTGCGCTGGATGCGGTCAAGTGGAAGGAGCTGGCACTGGGGAGCCCCTGCCCAGAGATGGGAACAGTATACCATGTGAGGCCGAACCTGCGCCTTGTAAAGTAGCAGGCGGTGTGCCGGCATGAAATACTGTCCCGTTCTGCTGAGCACGCCAAGATTTTTAGAAGCCAATTTGGCCTTCTCTTCCAAGTGATCACGAAACTGCACGTCACTCGATATGTCGACTCCGAGGATACCGAAACTGGCTGCGGCAACAAGGGGAGTGTCTTGAAAATGAGGAGATACGACAAAGGGGGTCTTTTTAGCGGTAAACGCGCAAACTTGTGTCTTCTGAGGATTAAACTGGACTAGATTTAGTCGCCCCCAATCCGAGACTTTGTTCAGCAAAGACTCGACTTCAGACACAAGTTTGTTCCGGTACTCGGCGACGTTTTCCCGAGAAATATTGGCACGGCCTGTGTAAAAAGGTCGGCTTTGTCTTTTACGGCTTGGGACAGTGAGTCGTCCACCCTGTGCAGAGATGGTAGTGATGGGTTACAGAAATTCCCTTGGACAGCCTTGACGAGAGACCAGAATGCACGTGTTCCCGAAGGAAGCCGAAATAGTTTCTCGCCAATTCTGCCTATGTGCTCTGACTTTGCCTTGGCAATAACTCTTTTGA